ACCTATGAACCCAGCACTTGGGAGGCTGAGGCAAGAAGATCATTATGAGTTTGAGGCCACCTGGGCTACGTAGTGAGTTCAAGGCCAGCCTGGACTACATAGTGAGACCCTGTCTCAAAAAAAAAGACTGTATTGAAGATACATAAAGACTTATAATATCTTAATCCTAAACTCAATCTTTCACTAAAAATCTGCTAGGTCCTATCATAGCCTTTAAGTAAACACCTATTAGGAGGTAGCAAAATCCTTGACTTCCACCTTTTCTTCTGAAGGTGCTTTAACAAGGAGACCCTAGGATTTAGCTCAGTGGTTCCGCCGCCTGCCTCGAAAGCAGAAGGACCTGAGTTCGATCCCCAATGCCAAAAAAAACCCGAGGAGACCCGAGGGGTAGGGAAGGGACAGAGCAAGAGGCAATGTACTCTTTGATCAAACTCGAACCACGGACCCTCACTTCAGGATCTCTGGCGGAGCCAGCTCTTGCCAGAACGCCAGAGTGAAAAGGTCTGGAGAAGCTAATTAAAGAATCACAGGAAAGGATATACACACACAAAAAGAACCACAGGAAGAACAGAGTGATTTTAACAGTAAGGTATTTTTAACTGATCACAATTGCGTGAACCCAATTGAAACCCCAGCTCTCAATTTCTCTAAGATGCAAAGATTAGAGTGAATTCAGTCAAGCACTTACCGTGCTCCAAGTGCTCCTCCCTGCCGGCAGGAAACAGAAAGGCCCAGACCACCGGGCCTGGGCTCTGCCCCACACTACCGCTGGGTGCTCCTCGCCCTTGCACAGTGGCGGCAAACCTCTTAGAGCTTGCAGTGATGACAAACAGCCCGCCGCGTGCCTCTAGTTCGTCACCACTGCCCTAGAACAATGCAAGGCCACACAGACTGAAGTGTCAGCTGGATTCTGGGCCCTGAGCAAGTGAGACACTGGGCATGGAGGCCGGCTGATGCGACCATCCTGGAGGGAATTAGCATAAAGTACGCTGACTGCTTTGGAAGGAATTCTACCAACACAAGATCGAAGACTTCTCATACAATAAACAATACACTCACTAGCACTAATAAAAATTACTAAGAGTGGGCCGGGGATTTAGCTCAGTGGTTCCACCGCCTGCCTTGAAAGCGCAAGGTCCCAAGTTCCATCCCTGGTACCAAAAACAAACAAACAGAACCAATCAGCTAATCTAAAAAGTTTAATGCATTGTGGGGTTTTTTTTTTCCATTTACAATGGCTTTTTCATTAGATTTTCATCAAAATTGTCAGAGGCAAATCTACACACTAAGGTGGCACCGGGAAAAGGTGAAAGAGCTCAACTGGTTACAGAAGGGAAACCATCTTCCAGGTGCAGAAGGATCAATGTAAATTGGATAAATAGAGCCAAAGGTCTGACGCTCATAGATTCAAGGTTTCACAGAGGGCGATCTCTTTAGGCAATGAAGACAATCAATTAGTCAACAAATACTTTCTGAGCTTCTGCCGTGATCTGTAAGTGTCCCCCTAAAGGTGCAAGGGCTAAAAGCTTGGTCATGGCCTGCAGCACCACTGAGAGATGACGGGAGCTTTAGGAGGCGGAGCCTGCTGAGAGGTCTTTAGGCCATGGGGGCAGGGTTAGAGACAGCAGGCCCCAGCTCCCGCCTCCTCCTCCCTTGTACTTCCCAGCCCAGGAAAGCAGCTTTGTTTGCTGAGCCACACTCCCACCTGTCGAGTGCCACCATAGGCCCAAAGCACAACTTCTACAAACTGCCCATGAAAATAAACCTTTTCTCTTCAGAAGCTGATCAGCCCAGGTATTTGTTACATAACAGAAAGCAGCTAACACAGCATCTACTATGCCTTAGCATAACAATCTAGGAATACAGAAATAAGCACCTGGGCCTCTCCTAATGCTAGTGATATAACTAAAGCATAGAGCACTCAATCACCATGAAGCAGGCAAAAGCAGAAAAGGTAGCTGCCCAGGAGGTGAAAGGCCAGAGCTCTGGTCCCAACTCCATCCTGATTCACGAGCTGCCTCTCCTTTGGCAAAGCACTACCTCACCCAGAATAAAAGCAGGTCAGACGACAATTTCTACAGGCTCTTCCACTCTAGCTCTATGAATACAAGTTCAAAGACAAGGAAGAATGCTCTTTAAGAGTTAGTAGGGGCCAGGGATTTAGCTCAGTGGCCCTGCACCTGCCTTTCAAGCGCAAGGTCCTGAGTTCGATCCCTGGTACCAAAAAAAAAGTTAGTAGGACTGAATTGAATTGATGGGAGAAAGGCTATACCAGGGAAAGAACATGAAAGTAAAAGTGGACACGTCACCTGAAATACCTAAAGTAGTCAAAACCATGGCAACAGAAAGGAGAATGGGGAGTGAACTGTTGGATGTATACAGAGTTTCGGTTTACAAGGTAAATTCTAGATCTATTATACACAAATATAAATACAGTTAGCACTACTGAATTACACATTTAAAATGGTTAAGACAGAATTTTTTATTGTTTTTTACAAGAATTTTAAAAAGAGGGAAAAAGGGGGAGTCACAGAAATTAGTACCCTAGCAGTAATAATGATGGAAAAATATTTTAAATCCATTAACTCCTAATGATCAATCCTTTAAATTCTTTTCTCCTAAATTAAAAACAAAAAAGTATCTTGCTAGTGGGATATGGAGGCTTCTCCCACTATAATAAAGCAGGGGGAGCATGCAGAGGGAATGAGGGATGGGAAGACAATGAAAACACTAAGCAGGGTGGAAACACAAAGAAGGGTATTCAGACACAATCTAATTGTGTCATCCCCACCTGAAATCCAGCCTACCCCATACAGAGGTTTCTGTCTTTATTCCAAGGATGGAAAAAACTCAACCTCCTTCAAGGTCTCGGCTCCTGCCCACCTTTTCACACTTCTCCCACTCCACATACACTGCTGTACCTTAAGCCTCTGGTCCTTTCTGTGAGCCTGTCATCAAAAGGTCTCTGTTCTCCTAACTGCTCTGACTGGAACACTGCCCTTCCTGTGCATCCTGCAGATCACAGCTTCAATGTCTTTTCTGTGACTTCCTTCACTAAACACTATCAGAGCTGCAGTCTAACACTTGTGTGGCCCTTTGATTGTCATCTGCTGAGGACAGGGACCACACATATGCACACTCTCTCCCCCACCTCCAAGCCAAGCCTGGCACCAAGTAACTACTGGAGTATTTGTTGAATAACTGAATAAATGAACACTAAATCCATTTTTTGAAAACAACAACAAAACATCTTAAGAGGTTTTTCTTAAGAATTTGTATCTTTAGTGAATCTCCAAAGCAAAGAAATCTAAAATCTCTATGAAACTAAAAAAGTCAACTGAGGTATCTCAACTGCTCTGGCCTTCCTCTGACACACAGTAAGTGCTGAGCATCAAAGATGGATAAACTAAGCACACACAAGCACAATGTAGATAGAGAATTGCCACTGGCTGCTGAGTTTACTATTGTTTTTGATATCTCCTGACACAACGTCTACTACATAGGAAGCACTTGAGGAATAAACAAGAGCAAACCAAACTTTCACAAGACTCAAGTATGTATGAAACAGTAACTCCATTTAAACTGCTGTGTTTAAATTTCTGTGTTTCCTATAAATGTAAGACCAACTGTAGAAGCAAAGAATCCCTAAGGACAAAGTTCCATGCTTATAACCTTATTATATTAGAACTCAAACAGGAGAAACACCAGAGACATTTGTACTGCGTGTCTGAAAGAAACAGATCCCAAATCAAGACTTTAGAGCTTTAAATAAGTAAGGATTTCAAAATGATACTGTGAACTATTTCTCAAACCTTAAAGTTAAGAATATAAGAGGAAATTATTTAATATTCCCATCCACTCCAATATAAATACAAATTGCGTCAATACCTTAGAGACAAGTCTCATTTAATCCACATAGTCCTGAAAACCCCAGTCCATATTGATTCCTCCACCCCTTGACTTAGTATAGCACTTAATATCTACCACATATTTTCCATGTATATGCCATCTAATTGCTTTTCTAATGATTTAATGTGTGCATTCTTGTCCTCTATCCTTTCAAGTACATATAACACTATATAGGTGCTTAATAAACACTTGAGTTTTGAATGATGAATTCTGCTATACTATAAACTGCTGCATTTTATTCCTAAATAATGTCACTCCCAAGACGATTTGCATATACCTGTTCCAGCCTCATCATCATTGGACTAATTCTAAAGTCGTTTTTATCAACACTTTAAACAAGGCTTAGTTTTCTTAGTACTACCCTTCACACCCAAGTGGTTTTCAGTGCCTAGTGTCTTTTCGAGTATAAACCAGGGTTATTAACAACACTTGCCCGTATTTCAACGTAGTAAATTTCACTTAAAATCCTTCCCAAAACTAGTCAGTCCCAGAGAGATTTCCACCTGCAAAAAGCTGCAAGATACAAAATCTAAGCCACAGTATACTCGTTCACAATTAGAAAGCTAATTTCTCGGGAAAGAATCTCAGTTCAAAATGTACAATTAAATGAGTCTCTACAATCAAAAGATCAGATAAAGTGCATCACTTTGGAGAGCGCAGAGCAGCAGGCAAATGTCCAGTACTATAATTAAGTGGCTGCTATTCACGATTCCTGAGGCCCCCAACCCTGCCGGTCGTGGCCACCTTGATCAGGACCCGTGACAAAGAGTCCACAAGTGACACGAGCCTCAGGAAGACTCCTCTCTACAGCAGCAGCCTCTAATCTCCCTCCACGTCCACCACAGCAGACCCTGGTCCGGGCAGGGAGCTCGGAGCTCGGCCTGGTAGGCCGGGTCGGCCTGGAGTTGGGGACGTGCGGTGGCCAGAGGCGGTGGCTGGGCCGGGCAAAGAAGCCAGCGGCGGAGGACGCTAGCCCCGGGCCGCCGCCGCCGTACCCGGCGAAGCGCTGCGGAGCCCCGCGGGGCCAGACTCGGGGTCGGTCCCAGGTGGGGCGTGTGCAGAGAAGGAAAGGAGCGGAGGGAGGACCTCACCGTGGCTCCCGGAGGGCCGGCACCGCCGCGGTCCCGCAGTTGCTAAGGAGAATGCTCTTCCGGGTCGCGGGAGCGGGTTCGAAAGAGCTACGGTGGCCGGCTGGAGCCAAACGCGCTGTGCATTGGGAGTGAGCCGTGCGGGATGCGGGCGGCGGGTTCCGCGGCTCCGAGACAGAGGGCCTGCGACACCTCTGACCTCGCCCCGTGGGGTTGACTTGCTGTCGGCTCCGAGCTGAACAGACCCTGAGAGCCCTTCCTGGTTGGCCTTGGTCCTCTCTCCCCGGACGAGCGCCTCCCCGACGCGGCCCGTCCCAGGCCCAAGGGCCCGGAGGCACCAAGTTGGGTCGCTCTCCGCAGACTCCACCAGACCTGAGGCCTCCCTCGGCTTCCAGCCCCCGGGGTAGCCACTCTGGCCCTCTCCTGTTAGGACGTTTTTCTGGTGTTTCTGTTTCCTCAGCGGCTCTGTGGGCACCTGTGCAAGGCTAGGTGCGGTGCTGGCACTGAGGGCACAGAGGTGAGCAGACCGGGCGCAGGCCCTGCCCTACCTGTGCAGGCTGGTGACAGAGCAGGCGACAGTGTCTTGCACGTTGGGATGAGCACACCTGGAGGTGTACACAGACACGAGTGGGAAAGGGCCAGTGATGGAGCCCTCAGCCAAGTGGACAGGGCTGGGACGAGTGTTTCAGGTAAGAGTGGGCGCGGTGTTAAAACCCACCGAAAGGTCCTGAGGCTGTCCAGGGATGCGTGCCGCGAAGAAACACCCGGGAAACACCAACATGTAAGTGAGGGAAATGGAACCCCCAGAAAGCAGCCAGAAGAAGAGAGGAAAGAATGTCAGGAAGAAGCTGGTCACCATCATCAAATGCTGTGGAGATCACGTGTCCAGTGGTGACCTTAGAAAAATCGACACCCAGGAATACAATGGCAAAATAAAAGGTGGCTTGAATCTGCCTGGTAGAAAAGCCCACTACCTTATTGGATCATGAAAAAGAGACACATTAAATTTTTAATACTTGAAGAAATACTGCCATAGCACAAGTAAATTTCAGGATTCTCCTGCTAATAACCCTGAGTGCTTTGAAGATAGAAAATAGTTAACATTTTCTAAGCATCTACAGCGCTTGCCATATGCCCAGTGTGTTGGTTTGAAGAATAAGTGACCCCGAGGATCCTCTGGTTTTTAACATTCTCCCAGATTCTTCCAGCACCCTCAGCCAAGTCATGGTGTAGGCAAAACTTGTCTATTCAAAACAGGGGATGGAAGAAGTCCAGCAGAGATTCAGTGGCTGGGAGAGAGGCCAGTGGAGAGAAGAATGGGAAGACGGGAAAAGGAAGAGAACAAAGGATTGAAACAGTGAAACCTCAGATTTCAAGACAAGAAATGGTGAGGCAAACGAAACCAAAAATAGGAGCAAGGGAGGAGAGCTGAGAAGTTTTCCTATGTAAGTTCAACAGGCAGATCTCATTTTGTTTGGACATATGGCAGGAAGTGTGGTGATGTCCCCTGGCATAAAGGCTGCACAGCTCTGGTGGACATGTCCCCATGCCCTTGATTTCTGCAAACCTAGCTACCTCGTGTGGTTTAAAGGAAGAATGGAGCACACTCAGAGTGGACCTGGGAAAGAGGCTGGCTGAACAACCATACCTCTAGTCCATAACTTCAGTGTCTTCCCATTACAATTTTACAGTAAACTTTCCCAAAAGAGTCCGAAGTCATGTTTTCATCAGAGAAGTTTTAAATGTATCCACAATAAATTACCAGCTATCTGTGTGAGTAAACCAAGTAATTCATACTGTGTGGCTGAAGAATTTAGAAACACCCAAAATATCTGTTCAGGGGGCCATCTTTATCCACTAGGGCTGCTATAACAATATTGTAGACTGGATGGTTTATGAGCCGTAGGTGTGATTCTCATCGTTTTGGAGACTGAGAAGTCATTCAGTGTCTGATGTGGGCAAATTCCTGCTTTGTGGCCAGCTATCTGTCCACTGTGTCCTCACAAGGTAGGGGGAGCAAGGAAGCTCCCTAAAACTCTTTTATAAAAGGATACTAAACCTATTCATAAGGACTTGGCTTGTGATCTAATCGATACCAAGGCAGGTGTGATGGTACACAACTGTAATCCCAGCACTCAAGAGGCTGAGGCAGGAAGATCAGATCAGCCTAGGCTACCTAGTGAGTTCCAGGCCAGCCTGAACTGTAACCACACTGTAAAATAGAACTCCTAACTTAGCACATAACAACACCCTACTTCCTCTCTTCAGCCCAAAAGAAGTGATGGAATACACAGATGCCAGGCCCAACCAGCCAGGGCCTGGTTTGTTTTCCACAAGAAAAGTTGAGGTGAAGATGAGATGAAGAAGATAAAGCAAGTGTGGAGATCTACGTTCTCATTGTTTCTGACTGTAAAAGACCCTTGTCCAGATGGTGAATTGAGGCAAATGGGCCCCTCCATCTCCTCGGAGCTAGCTTTGAATAAATCCTGTTTCCCTTTTACCCAAATATATGGCTTCCTTTGATTTGGCCAGCAGCAAGCAAACAACCTGAGCATATGAGCCTAAGCGGCCAGTAGCAGAACTACATAGCAAGTCTCAAAAAACCTAAATAAATAATCACCTACCAAAAGGATTAGGATTCCAACATACGAATTGGGGTGAGGCACAGACAGTCCATCCATAGCAGGGGTCCTGAGTGTAATACCAAGAAGACAGTCAGAAAGTGGTTACGACTTGGTGAAGGGAAAGCAAGTCAGTTGTTTTGTGAACAATTTTGACAGTCAACTCAATATGGAAAGAAGAGGCCCGCATAAATGAAACCTATCTTGCATATTCCTGGCAGCCCTTGAATAGGGTATCTATTTTAAAGGACTCCTGTTGAAGGGGCAGGGTGATTCATTAGGCTCCACTTGCTGGGGTTCTGGGAGATTTCAGCAGTTCCTCAAGAGATGGAAGTTTAGCATTGGCTATGAAGGGCATAACTAGAGAACGACAGGGAGTTGTGGACTCCACACCACAGGGTGATATTCGCTGCCTGACATTGGTCTCCGGATGACGGACGACCTATTCATAAGGTAAAGTGCTGTGAGAAGTGCCTACGAGATCCAGAATATGAGTTGGACCAGAATTACTCATGTGTGTCCTGTTGGCCACAAAAGAAGCCATCTGCAGTCCCAGAGGAATTCCGGTTTGCCTTTGGGAGGGACTGTGTCTGTGTCTTAGCTTGGGCTGCTGCAACAGAGCGCTCCGGAGGGGGCCACTTAAGGACAGAAATTTATTTCTCCCAATTCTTGAGGCTGAGAAGCCCAAGACCAAAGCACTAGCTCTTCATTGTCCCTGATCAAGGCCCACTTCCTGGTTCTTAATCCTGTCCTCACAGGACCGGAAGAGGGCTGGCCAGCTCTGCAGCGTCTTATAAAAGCTCTCACCCCTTGTTTGAGAGTTCCACCCTCATGACTCAGTTACCTCCAAAAGGCCCCACTTCCCGTCACACTGGGATGAAGTTTCCAGCATTTGAGTGGGGCTGGGCACAAATATCCTTTCATGCAGTCCTGGCTTTCTGGGGAATTTAGGGGCTATAGACAGCTATTGTTGCCCCAGATCTTTCCAGCCCCAGCCTGACTTAATTCCTGACTGCACCATCTTCCACCTGGGCTTCTGTCCTAACATCCACCCACCCAGTCACAGAAGCAGCCCTGGAGGAGTCATTCTGACTGTACTTTACCTGTCACACCCTCACCTGCTGGTCCAGTCCCTGAGCAAGTCCTGGAGATCATCTTATTCCCCCCACCCAGACCCACTGCCACCAATGACAGGGAAAGAAGTAAGTAAGCAACTCAGGATCAATAAAAGAATGTTGCAACCTCCAAGATGAACCAACGCGATAAAGGTGGAGTGCATGTATGCACCTGGTGTGTATGTGCAAAACAGCACAGGAACTATAAGGAAATTGGATGGGATAAGTCCGTCATAAAGGGAGTAAGAGATATGGAAAGAACTGTGAAATAAATGAGGAGAAGGAAGGCTGAGGTCAAATTGAATGCATTCCAAGAACCAGAAGGAGTGCTTGCCCCACTTTGGGAGACTCCTACTCAGCGCTGCATGTGTTCAGCTGCTGGGAGCCTGGTCTTCACCCTCATGGGCTGAGAGTGCTGTGGGTGGACAGTAAAGATGTCTTGTCACTGTTGAACAACCTGTCTGGCCTGCCAGGTGTGGTGGCACGCACCTGTAATCCCAGCACTCAGGAGGCTGAGGCAGGAGGATCACTGCAAGGTCAAGGTCAGGCTGGGGTATGTAGTGAGTTCAAGGCCAGCCTGAACTACACAGTGAGACACTTACCTAAAAAAATACCTGCCTTGGGCCGGGGATTTAGCTCAGTGGTTTCGACACCTGCTGCACAAGGACCCGAGTTCAATCCCCGGTACCAAAAAAAAAAAACCTGCCTGGCCTTGTCAACTTCAGCATCTAGACCCACCCAGAACACTTACAGTCATTGTCTAATTATAACTTACTTTTGGCCGGGGATTTAGCTCAGTGGTTCTGTCGCCTGCCTTGAAAGCACAAGGGCCTGAGTTCGATCCCCAGTACCAAACAAAACAAAACAAAATAAATATAACCTACTTTTGTTCTGGCCTCACCTTATACATTTTCTTTTCTATCTTTCTAGTATTCTTTTTCTCCTCTTTTGTGTGTGGGTGTACATCCAGGTACGTGTACAGAAGATCGAACCCAGGGGCACTGTACCTCGGACCTACACTCCCTCCTTTTGTATATTTTATTTTGAGACAGAATCTCACTGAGTTGCCCAGGCAGGACTTGAACTTGTGATCCTCTGCCTCAGCCTCCCTCTGTGCTAGGATTACAGGCATGTGCCACTGTGCCTGATTCCTCTTAACTTTTAAAATCTGAATTCTACTAGAACTTTTTTTTTTTGGTCTCTCAGGTCTTAGGCTTTTACCTTAACTTCTCTTTTACTTTCTAGTTCCTTTTTAAAATTTTATCTTTTTAAATATTTAGGTTTAATTTGTTATTTTCTATTGTTTTCCTCTTTTATTTCACATATACTACTTTAAATGTGGATTTTGGAAATTTTCTCATTTACAATGTTGGCCTACTTTCTGTTTGTTTTGTTTTCCCTGTCACTGAGCTACATCCCAATGCTTTTTTTAAAAATCTAATTTTGAGACTATTCTTTCTGAAATTTTACTCCCATACTTTTAGCTTTCAATTTGCCTTCATTTTTATACTCTCTCACCATCTGGTTTCATCTTTCTCCTGCCTCCGTGTTGCATATTTCTTCTGGTTTTGAGTGTTCTCTTTTAATCACAACCCTATCTCACCAGCTGCAAGCGGCACCTGATGATTTTTACATTTTGAAAGACAGAAGAATGGCATCACATTCACAAAACCTGGAGCGCAATCCTGGTTTTGTTGGGAAACCCACTGCAGTGGGAGGACTTCACAAAACACGTGGGATGTTTCTTTCATACCTGGCACCTGCCGGACCCCAGCCTCGTGTGAAGCTGGTTTAATGAAAAGAGGCCTCGAGCTGCAAATTCCATCCTCCGGGTGTGCAGC